AAATTCATTAATGAGCTTTAAACTGTGGGGTGAATCCATAAGACAAGGCAAGGAAATTTGGCACATTTCAAACAGTATGTTTTAAGTTTTGGTAAATCATGTAACACAACATATTTTTCCACTGTGATCTACAGGTGCTATCCACATAAGTGGGGTGTTTAATAGCAAAAATCACTGGAATGTTTCTAGTAAATTAAGAGGGACAAGCTTCCCCAAATACTCACAACCAAATGTTGATATAGAAGTAAAAATATATACAATACAGTCACTTATTTGTAGTTTGGCACAACGTTTTCCATTTTGTCCTTGTGGGTACATAGTGATAAACTACTTGTGCAACTGTATGATTTTTTAAGTCTTTTACATCGAACATCAGATTAAAGTTTACTTTCAAAGACTTATTCCCACAATTTAATTTTTTTTCTTTAAGCACTTACATGTTAACATACATACCACAAGGCATATTTTGAAACAAAATAAACACAAACATCAAATGTCTTTCCGGAAAATGCAAGTCTCTTCTTCAAACACAGGTAAAACCCATAATGTTGTTTCTGCTTTTAGGAGATTGTAGTCAGAATCCCTGCAGAAAAATCAAACAACTTTTGCCATCTTAGTTAGTTTAAGTGTATGTCCCTCAAAGGGATCATACAATCTAATTTTTTAAACATCATACTAGATGCTGTATGATGCAGAAAACAGATACAGATAGGAGAGGGTACTAGAAAGTACTCCTAATTGTCATGTGTGGAGGTTTTGTTTTCCAACTAATGCTCTTTTTGTTTATAAATGATCTTGACTTTTTGTCTATATGACTTTTTAATTCTGTTGTTCAAAATTTGTCTTACTTCAAAGCCTTTCCCTTCCCAAAATCACTCAAGAGCACATTTTAGTTCTATTTTCTTAATAAGCAAAAATTACTGTTGACTAGCAGAAGAAAAAAGTAGCTTTGTTAGAGCTTATCCCTGGCCAGGTCAGGAAAAAATGTCCCAACCTTTTGGATGGCTTAAAAACACAGGGATTTTCATGCACATTTTCTTTCTTTTTAATTTGAAAAAGAAGGGTATGGCACAGTTTCTTTCATGCAAACTTTTGCTTTTGAGAAGGAAAATAATGAGGAATTGTAGGCCCAGCAGGTAGTAGGAAAGCTAAGGGTGAATCATCTCAGCAATTTTGGTGTAGTATTACCTCAGTTTTTCAAAAGATGCTGTCCCAGCCTCATCCTTGTGGACCTGTTCTCTATCCATGCGCTTTCCCTTACATTTCTCATCTCTTAGGACCTTGGAGCTGGATTTGTGACGATATAATTTTTTGTGTGTTGGTCCATTATTGCCTAAAGTGCTCATATTACTGTACTTTTTATCGAAGAAGGCAGAACAATTGTCCTCATTATAACTGGGCATGTCTGTGCCACCAAGATCACCTATTGCTGCTTTCCCATTGCTTTTGCTCACACCCTTGATTGACCTGTGATTCTTAGTGGCTCCTGGGAATCCATTGTTGACCTTTTTCTTAGACTCTTGTGGTGTCCCAGCCAGTATTTTGAGGGTTTTTAATTTTAGACTATTAGACTCTGGGGAGTACACTATGTTGGGGTCTCCATGGTGCCCAATGGGTTCCCACAGGGGCTCTATGGAGGCCATCATGAATCTCTGCACATCTGCCATACCAGAGGCAATGTTGGACAAAATGTAGGAAGGCTCCTGAAATTCCCGTTGGTCATCATCCAGGAGGGTGTTGGTGTTAGTGCCCATGCTTGTATCACTCCAGCCTGAGCTATTGTCTTTTCCCAAAGCCCAATCTCCAGAAAGTCCCTTGTGACTTGCCATTTTCATAGAAGAGGCTGGGCCACCATGTTGGATACATTCTACCAGTGTCTTCCCAGTAGAGGATATGCTGTTGGTTTGGCCTTCCCCTTGGCCAAAGCCAATTTCCATTTTCTCCCCAGTGATGGAAGCCATATATTTCCCTTTCTTTGTTGACTTAGGGATCTGGCGGGAGGTTTTGCCAGGTGGCTTTTCAGTTCCTTTGTTGTTGACTTTCAGGGACTTTTTCCTGGTGTTTTTTTGAGAAGAGCTTTGATTCATAGCCCCACTCTTGCTGGGTGAACTTCTCTTTCTTGATTTTGACACTTTGTTGCTTGTACTGATCGGACTAGTTGAATCGTTAAATGTTGATAGGCAAGGGTTTTTTTGGAGCAGGCTGACAGAATCCTCATCATTGAACATATGGAACTGAAATTGATGTTTATTTAAAGTAAATCCATCATCAGCTTGGACCTGCTGTGAAAGAGTACTACAGTCCCACTTGATTTTCTCCACGCTTCCCAATAATCCTGGCACTCTCTCTTGGAATCCTTTCAGTGTTCCTAGTGCCTTTGTACTTTCACATCTGGTAATCTGAGGTGAAAGACTGGGAGTGTCAGGTGGGGAAATCTCTGAGAGGGAAGAGTGGCGGAATTTATCAGGAGTGAAGTTGGAGATATCCAGAAGGTCAGTGGACTCCTTTAGTGGTGCTATCTCATCAATGCTCTGTTGGATCACCAACTTGGGGCTGCAGTGGGCTAGGAAGTCATCAGTGATATCATCATCACCATCCTTTTCAGAAGACTTCAAATTTAAGGAGCAATAATTGCTTGAGCTGACAGACAGTGGGGCCATTGAATCAAAGCTAAAGAGCCGACCATCATTCATACTGACTGGGTCCTGCTGGAAAGGAAAGCAGATCTCTCCATTATTAAAGTGACATAATTGATAAGAGTCATCAGATGGAAGCTGACCATCCTGTGCAGAGGCATACAGAGCCTTGTTGCAACTATCGCCATCATTATTGAGGCAGACTGGATTGTATGCTACAGCTGTGAGGTTATTCTCCATGGAGCCTATGTTGGAGACTTCAAATTCATTGGATTGATTTGGGACTATCTCCTGTGACACTTCAGCCATGAATTCCTGGGTTCCAGAAGTAACCTTGTTGGGCCACACATTTTCATAGTTGCTGGATTCCATTTTGAAGTTATGAGATGACTTCTGTAGCTCAGAGTCAGAGGATGAGGAGAGTACACAGTCTTGGGCTGGTTGGAGAGGTATAAATGCTTTTTCTCTCTGAGTGAGGCTTTCTTCATTTTGCTCTGGAGAATTATGGGTAAAGTATGAGATGCCGGTATTGTTTGACATGTCAGAAGCGTCTAACAAGGTCTGCAGATACCCTCCAGGGATAACAGGTATGTTAGTAGCAACATTATCAGATGATAGAGACATTTCAGAAGAACAGGTGGTTGGTAAGAAGGTGGAATTCTTAGTAACTTTCACCTCATGAACTTCAGGCAGATGAGAACTGTTTGAGGTCTCTGGAATAACTTCATTTTTATAATTAGCCTTGGAGGACTTGCTTTCCAAGAAAGGGCTCATTTGAACAACCGACTTGCTTTCTTGCCCAGTTTTAATTTTCTTGGATTTTAACCTAGCTTCACTTTTAAATTTGATTTTGTTGAGCACTTTCCTCTCTGGCCCTTTAAACTCTGTATCTTGGGCTTTGACTTTCAATGAGTCAGAACTTGTGATGTCGTTTAAATGTGATCCATTTGCACAGCTGGGGCTAGCTAAAGGTGCTGGCTTCATTGTACCTTTTAGGCCTCCATCTTCTTTGCGATCACTAGTTTGTCTTTGATCATTGCTGAATGAAGTATGCTTACTACTTACTGAAGTTTCCATGGATGCAATTCTTTGAATCCTGTGCCTGTTGCCAAGTTTAGATTTTCGTTTACGAACAGGTGGCAGAAATGACACCTCAAAGCTACCCGGTTCAAAGCTTTGCTTTTGGCATAAGGGTGTCTTGATGGATTCTGTGTGGATGTTTCTCTGCTTTTTCTTCTTCTGCCAGACACCCTTTAAAGGTGCCAGCTTGGCATATTTGTTAAGCTGATTCTCACTCAAATTCACTGTTGTCTCACTAGCATCCACCTTACCCAACTTCACTAGCATGTTCTTTTCACCTTTAAAGCGATTGATGATGATATATTTGATGATAACAGGGGGCTCCTTACGGGTTACTTTTCTTCTCTTTTTGGGGCACCATTCATCATCATCTTCCTCTTTGGAACCACCTGGAAGCCATTCCTTCCTCTCATTCACTTTTTCACCCTCTAGTGAGTCAACATCATACAGATAATCTTCACTGTATCTGACTTTTCTCTTGGCTCTCAGTCCATAGTTCTGCTGGGAGGAGGAGCTGCTAGAATTAGTGTCCCGAGCCATATAGCGGCTACAATCCTTGATCTCTCCCATGGCATCATATGAGACTTCAATGAAGGAACTGTCATCGCTGAAGTTTCCTGAGGTCTCTAAGGAATTAACAAGATGGCCTTGCTTTGCATTCTTAAATTGCCCTTCCTCAATTCCACTGCACAATTTATTTAAGGCAGTTTTTTCCCCATCATCCTTTTCATCTTTTGTCTCTACACTTTTGTCTTCATGTTCTTCCTCTTTGCCTTTTTTCTTGTCCAAGTTTTTATCTTCCTCCCCCCAGATGATGTTCATATCAGGGACCTTGAATTGGGAAAGATCACTGCTCTGCTTCATGGTGCCACTCTTGGGTTCCCTCTTGGGGCAAGTGGAAAAAACACTGGGAAAAAAGTTGAATTGGGCATCCTCCTGCATTAGGAGGGTGGTTTTGTCTCGAACATTGTCCTGAAATGACTCATATCGAATTTTCAGGGAGCAGACATCACTGCCCAGTGTTGACTCATCATCATCAAACATGTAGTTATCCACATCTTCTTCAGAGAACAGATTGACAGATAGCTCATTCTTGGAACAGAGGTCAAGCAGTTCAATTTTACTTTCACTAATAAAAGTCTCAAAGTAACCCCAATCCTGATTTGAATTTGCAAGTAAAGCTTCTTCTGTATTGCACTTATCTAACAGTAATGCCTCATAATAACTTTTCTGAGCCGGATCTTCCAAGTCAATGTCAGGTTTCTCAGCTTCTCGCCTATCTCCTGCCCTTGATTTATGAAGTGGGAAACCCAGGAGCTGATCTGACAGCAGCTGCTCACCATATTTTATGTTTTCTCCAGTACTGATGCACTGAATCCCTATATCAGAGACTGCACATGTTTCATAATCTCTATTTAGATCACCGACTTTTAGACTGATCCCTGGCTCAGGATCTACTGCCTCCTTGGATTCCATGAAGCAGCCCAAGCAAGTCCGGCTTGGCTGCATAAGGCAGTCTCCATTCAGAGCTGACATGCCTGCAGGCTCCATTATGGCAAATGGAGCTTTCTCACACTCATTGGGTAGTGACCATGTGTTCAGGCCTTTTGCAACACCAGATGTGAGGGAAATGGCATTTACAGAAGCACTATTAGCAGCATGCTCAGGTACTTCAACCAGACCCAAAGGTGATGGAGGGCTCTGCATGCAGGGCTTCTTAGAGGGCAGAGGCAGGAGACTCCTGGGAAACATCAGGGTCTCTTTTTGTACCACTGGTATAGGCTGGATTGGTGCAGCTGCTTCTAGAGCTGCAAATGACTTCATTGCCACATCTTGGTCCTCTGAGTCTAGAGAAAAGGGAAATAAATAAAAGAAACAACATTAAGAGTCTTAGACTACACTCATTAACTCTCTCTTGACCACTTTCTGTCACTTAATCTTTTATGTAAGCTAAGCCCGTGCTCCTCTAGTTTTACAAGGCACAACCAAACCATTAAACAACAACCTTAATTTTATACTGAATAGTATTAGTAAAAATAATTTTTAGGCCCAGCTTCTTCCTTAGAGAAAGATAGAGACCTCCTCAGGATGAGAAAAGCTTGATGAATTGGTAAATCAAAGCTTTGTGGGGAGAATGCTCAGATGGGACATTCATGGTAACTCATTGAACTATGAGGTACCAACCAATAGTTGGAATGTTCTTGAAGCTCCTAGTGATCAGAGCATATTTGTCATTCACTAAGAATTTTGAGGAACTTTTATCTGTCAGAGATGATCTGGTAGCTCAATAAGATTAGATTTTGTAGCTCTGAGAATCCTTTGTAGCCCCGTTACGGATTGGTGGAATAGAGTTTAGGATTAGCATCAATCTCAAAGGCATTTTAGGCATAATCTATCTTAACTTTGTCGACACTAAAACTTCATAGTAAGAACAAAGGACCACTGAGAGAGATATTATTTACTATAATTAAATTCCCTTACCATTTTCTTTGATCTCATTAGTCACAATGTTTTCTCCATTGGCTGCGGCAGCAATAGCCTTATCTTGTTGGTCATCCATGAATGTAATCTCTTACTGTTTCATTCCAAATCCAAATGATATCTAACCTGCACAATTTAAATAAATAATATCAAACATTAAATTTGTTTTATTTATATTGTATAGGTTATTTCAGCCATAGGAATCTTAAAAGGCTCATTTGAATTTACCTGTTTCCAGGCTGCCTTCAATATAACTATTATTTTCATTTTGTAGTTTATAACTACCATATAAATCAATCAGAAACTCACACATCATTCATACATCATAGGTCCTTCTGTTCCTTCTAGGCAAGTATATTATTCAAAACTGAAACCTGAAGATGCAGGGAAACTTGCATCTTTCTCCAGATAATAACAAATTTAACCTGATTATAATTGCCTAATAGGAAAAATGAAAAGTAAGGTCCAGTCTAACTTGAAATAAGGGGTTTTTGGGTGTGGAGGTTAACTTTGTTTCTATTTCCCTCATTTCTACTTCACTTGATCAGGATCTCTTCAAAAACAAGCCAGTTCATACACATAAAAATATATTAATCACACAGATTTTCTCTATCTGTCCCTTAAAATTTGACTTCTTAAGGTTGAAAGAAGTGAGAACTTCATGGTTTCACAACTTTTAGGACCTTTACCAGGATTTTGATAAACATCCCTCTGACTATAGCAAGAATTTAAAATGTGAGTGCAAAGAAGATCTACATTTTCTGAAAGCATAATCTGGTACTTTTTAGGTGTGGTACACATATCTATAGTTCATCATCTTCCCACCCATTTCAGTGGTAGATATATGCCAAATGATAAGAAATAAGGCCACCAAAGATACAGTTATCTATCATATGCTACTACAACATCTATAAATCCTTACTTATTTAAGCCCCTTTCCCTAAACATTCTTCACAGTCAAGTACTCATCACTGTATTTAGAAGCACATACTGCTGATAGCAAAGTAGAAAGTAACAAGAATTTCAATCGTATACTCATTTATCCTGATATAGACATTTCCTGACTTGCAATGGTTCAACTTCTCATTTTGTTGACCATACAGTGTTATGAAAGCAATACACATTCAGTTGAAACTGCACTTTGGAGAATACAGCAGAGCAAAAGCTAGCAGCAAATAACAGCCTCTCTGGCATCTATAATTGAGAAAACTCTAAAACAATAACTTAGGAGAAAGAAAGAGTAGAAGAACTCTGGGAAATCAAGAAAGCACAGACAGGAAATCTAGAAATCACAGATAAACTGGAGAAACTGAAGACAACACAGAGAAAGAAACAGGGCAGTCTGCAACATTAACCAGGTCTCCCAGGGAGGGAGACCTGTCTCTGCAAACATAAGCCCACTGAGGGCCAGTGGTGTTAGTTATAAATGATGGACGTGCAACACTACCCTGAAGAAAAGCCATGGATATTGTAAGTTGAAAATGCAGCGTGGGATTTTATTCTAAAAGTGAGTTCTTCTACATGGAAGGCTAGGGTGGAAGAAGAAATCTGTTGCAGCACTCACCATGTTAGGGAATGATATAATCAAGAGCCATTTTGAGAAGGGGATTATTGTTTAAGATTGAGCTACTCTGAGAATCACAAGTTACAGAACAATCACACTTCAGAGTTTCTGGAGTCACCTTACTACAGTGATTAGGTCTGAGATATCCACAAAAGACAGTCCTAGAAAAGAGGAGGGCTAGTAACAGAATCCTTGAGAAGTTTAAGCTGTGGTAGGTACAGGCTGTGATGGACACAGTGGTTTGATCCTCTATGGTGAGAAGCCAAGGTGGTTGCATGTGATTTTCTGTTGGGAATGGGTTTGAACATGCTGGGCTTAAGTCCAGAAGACTGTTTTGCCTCCCTTGCTGCCTACTTCCATGACAGAACTCAGTGATCTGTTTCCTTTTTCTATCTGCCAACATGATTAGAGATACACCTCAGCTTGGAAGTTTGCCACATCCTGAGGTGTACAAACCGAGGTGCCTCTGGAGCAAGTGCTGCACCTCACAAGTCCCCTGGCCACAAAGCTTGTCAGGATAACAGTGGCTCAGGGCACCCAGAAGGGCACAAACAATAAGAGCCAGTTTATTGAATACAGGCTTGATTCAGACAACACACCATTGACTGATCCTGCACAGTAGAAAAGGTGGGGTAAGACTCAGCATTCACACAGCAAAAAGTGGTTGTGGAAACACAATAAGCCTTAGTTGAGACTCACTATGCCTCCCCATATCTGGTGGATTCTGATTCCACAGGTTCTAGAAAGAAATTCCCCTACCCCTGCAAAATTCCTCAAGGTGGAAGAATTTTGGGAGTCATTTATCTTTTTCTCTATGTGTGTGTGTGGTGGGGGACTGCTTTTTCCTTTGGTCTTTGCTTTATTCTCTTCTTTTTTATTTATTTTGTTTTCTCCTGTTATTTTTATGTAATTCTACTTCATTCTTTAGTTGGACTTTTATTTCACTTCTCCCTCTTTCTAGGCCCCAGAAGAGGATTGGGCACTAAGAAGACCCTGAAATATTACATTGAGTAAGTTGGTGAAGGGCATAAATACCAAAACATAACCAAACCCAAAGAAAAAAAACAGAAACAGAACCTAACTAAAGATATCTCCATAGTAGAGTAAAACCTGATTTTCCACCTGTGGCACAAAACCAATTAAAAACATGAGAGAGCAAGGCAACAAGATGCCTCCAAAATCCCTTAAATCCCCAAAAGCTGATCTCATGGGCACTGAAATAGAGTTATAGGCAAATAACTAAAAGAATCAAATGGTCAAAATGCTTGACGAGATCAAGGAAGAAACATAGAGCAAATTTATAAGATGTTTAGAGAGCTTAAATGATATTTAAATTAACAGATAAATCATTTAATTAATAAAATGTTCAGTGATCTCTAAGAAGAAACAAATAATAAACTACTTGAGTTAAAGAAGATACAAATGTCTATTTTGGTAAAGAACTAGAAATTATGAAAAGAAATTCAGAATATGAAAAATTTGATGGAAAGCACAGGCAGCAGGTTTGACCAGTCTGAAGACAGAGTGCTAGAACTTGAAGACAAGGTTGATATAGTTAATTACGTGCTTAATGACCTCCTAAAACCACAAGACACTGTGGAAACTATATCTGACAACTGCTTGATGATACCAAATAATAAGCTAAACTTAGAATTATAGGAATAAAGGTAAAATTAGATGACTCAAAAGGTATAAAAGATTTACTCACTAAAATCATGGCAGGTAAATTCCCAAAGCTAATGAAAGAATTCAGTATTTAGGCACAAGAGGCATACCGAAGACCAAATTATTACAACAAGAAAAGAATCTCTCCATGAGGAAGCATCATATAAAAATCCAGAAATTCAATAAAAAGAAAAAAGCTGATAGAGAAAAAGCAAGTAACCTATAAAGGCAAGCCAATCAGAATAACTGTAGTACTCAGCATAAAACTTAAAGGCCAGAAGGGCCTGAAATGAAGTTTATCAAGCCTAAAAGAAAACAATTGTGAACCCAGGCTTCTGTGTCCTGCAAAAATTATCCTTCAAAATTGACAGAGAAGTAAAGGCTTTCCATGACAAAGAAACCATAAAAAATACATCATTAGTAAACCCAGACAGAGAGGAATAAAGGAATCCGAGACAGACAGGCTATCAGCACTAATGAAATCAAAGGAAAGTATACATATAACTGAGATAGTAGTGAAACAGAAGGGAAAAATAAAGAAACCAGCCCTAGAAAAATAATTCAATGATAGAATTCAGTAAATACCTTACAATAATGTTGATGGTGTTAATTATCTAAGCAAATGGCATATAATGGAAGATTGGATTAAAAACAAAACACAACCATATATTGCCTACAAGAAACACACCTCATCCAAAAGGAACCACAAAGACTGAATGTGAATGGACGGAAAATGATAGCCCATGAAACCAGAGTCAGAAACAAGCAGTAGTAGGTGCCTTACTTTCATACACAGTAAATTTCAAACACAAACTGATTAGAACAGACAAAGTTGGCCATTGCATATTGTTTTTTAATTAATTTTACTGGTACATTTAATGTATATAATATAATGACATTAACTGTTGGAAATTTATACCTTTACATAATCTGTCTTGATTCTTATATTTTCCCTATCTCCCTTCAACCCCTCCCTCCCTCCCCATCTATAAATGCTTTGTTTCCATTATTTTTCATTTTCTCATATTATTTCCATTCTATTCTTTCCTTTCCCTTACCTTCCCCATTCCCCTTTCCCCTTTGTCCCTTTTCTTCCTATTGCACATTATCCATTTTACCTTTTAGTCCTTATTTACACTTTGAGTTTCTCACACAGAGAATCTATTCTGTAGTTACACATGTGTGTGCTACTTATATCACTTAAGAGTATCACCTCAATGTGCATCCATTTAGCTATAAATGTCTCTAATTTTTAATTTTTATGGCTGAGTAGTATTCCATTTTATTAAAAAAATACATTTTCTTTATCCAGTCTCCCATTGGTGGGAAATTTGGTTGCTTCCAAGTTTTAGCTATTACAAATTGTGCTGCTATGAACCTGGGTACACATATATCACTGTGGTATGGATTCTTTTAATTCTTTGGGGAAGATACACAGCAAGGGAATAGCTGGGTCAAATGGGACTTCCAAACTTAGTTCTCTGAGGTATCTCCATACAGATTTCCACAGTGGTTGCACCAGTCTACACTCCCACCAGCAGTGGAGCAGTGTTCCTCATTCCCCGGAGCCCTGCCAGAAATTGCTATTGGTTGATTTCATGATAGCAGTCTTACTTTCTGGGGTGAGGTGAAATCTCAGAGTTAAAACAATCAGGCCTCCCAAATTGAAAAACCCAATCCAAAAATGGGCATCTGAAATGAACAGACATTTCCTAGAAAAAGAAGTAGAACTAGCAAATAAAGATATGAAAAAATGTTCAAAATCATTGGTCATTCGAGAAATGCAAATGAGAGCAATGCTGAGATTCCACTGCATACTGATAAAGGGAAAAATTCAGCAGGAAGAGATAACATTTGTAAATATATATGCACCAAATGTTGGCATGCCCAACTTCG